GCACCGCGAACAGCGGCCGGGTGAACGGGCTGAGCCGCCCGCCCGGCGCCATCGCCATGAAGGATCACGACGCCATCAAGCTGTTCGTGGGGCAGATCCCGCGGAACCTGGAGGAGAGCGACCTCAAGCCGCTCTTCGAGGAGTTCGGCCGCATCTACGAGCTCACCGTCCTCAAGGATCGCTTCACCGGCATGCACAAAGGTACCGGGGGGGGCACGGCCGGGGGGCGTCCGCGGGTGGGACACCCGGGTGATGTACCCTGAGGTGGGACACCCTGGGTGATGTACCCCTGAGGTGGGACACCCTGGTGATGTACCCTGAGGTGGGACACCCGGGTGATGTACCCTGAGGTGGGACACCCGGGTGATGTACCCTGAGGTGGGACACCCAGGTGATGTACCCTGAGGTGCTGCGGGTACCCCTCAGGTGACATATTCCTGAGGTGGGACACCCCTGAGGTGAGATACTCTTGAGGTGATGTACCCCTGAGTTGAGACACCCCTAAGGTGGGACACCCCTAAGGTGAGACACACTGAGGTGGAGCACCCACAATCTGGAAGTACATCTGAGGTGAGTCGTCCAGGTATGGGGCCCCTCTGAGGAGGGGGTACCGCTGAGGTGAAGGCACTTCTGAGGTGGGACACCCTGAGGTGGGGCACTGAGGTATGGGACATGTCTGAGGTGAGGTACACCTGATCTGGAGGTACCCATGAGGCAGGGGGATCTCTGAGGTGGGCATACCCCTGAGTTAAAGGTACCCCTGAGCCGGGGGAAACCTTGAGGTGGGGTGCCCTTAGATAGTGGTTCCCCTGAGATGGGGCACCCTGGTATGAGGTACTTCTGAGGTGGAGTTCCCTCAGTATGGTGCAGCACTGAGGTGAAGGTGCCCCTGAGGTGGTGGCACCTCAGAGTGCACCACATGGGTATGAGTCACACTGTAATGGGCACCCCTAAGGTGGGGAACATCTGAAGTGATCTAAAAGATGGGGCATCCCTCCGATGGGGGTGCCCTTGGGGTGGAAGTGCTGCTCTAAGGCGAACACACCCCTGGGATGGAGACGCCCACCAAAGGCGGGGGCACCAACCTGGGGTTGGGAGCTTCTGTCCACCTTGTGAGCACCTCGGCAGGGTTCGGGCACCGACCGGGGTCGGGGGCACCTGTGTGGCATCGGGGGCACCCACATGAGTTTTGAGCACCCCTGGAGCTGGAGCACCTCTGGAGTGGAGGCACCCACCTGGGATACAGGCGCTTCCCTGCCCGCTCCGCCTCCCAGGCCTCTGCAGGGGGGTCAGGACGAGCTGCCCCAAGATCTGGCAGCCCTGGGCAGTGTGGCACCGAGGGGCTTACACCTGCACCACCGAGATTTTGCTGGCACGCCCCACCCATGAGCTGTGGGTCTGCGGCTCGGGAGCGGGGTCGGGGCCCCCCGGGTGTCACCCGGACGGGATGTCACCCTCCTCCGCGCGCTGTCGCTGAGCCCCTGCGCCCGCTTCACCTGGACTTTCTGGGAAGCTGGAACTTGGCACCTGGGTGCCGTGCCCTTCATGCCTGTGGGGCAGCCCCCCATCAGTAAGCACCCCACAGCCTCCGAGATGTCTCCAGATGCCTCCAAAGCTGCTTGGGTGCCCCAAACGACGGGATTCACACCTTGCTGGGCCCCCTCGGCGCTTCCTCCAGCACAAGCTTCAACCGCTGCGGCCCAGACACGCGGTTTAATTGTGGACACTCCTCTGATTGAAATGGCATCCTTCCTCCTGGTGAGCCTTGGAGCAGGATCCCCCCCTGCTCCAGCCCCCCAAACTTCTCCAGAACGCCTGGGCACCATCCACGTTGTCGCCTGCAGGGGAAAAGGGGAAAAAAAACAAGCAGAGAGGAGGAAGTCAACGTGATTACGGATGGTAAACACTGGAAATTGCACCAGGACTGACGTGAGCAGCTGTGCTGACCTCCCCTTTCCACACGCAGTGGGATAATATTTATCCAGGGGGGATTTACCCTTGCTCCCTGTGAGGGCAGATGTCCCCAGCACCCTGAGGGGGGCAAGGGACCCCATCCCTTGGCATCCCCCCACCCCACTGCTGTGCTCCCTTTCCTCCCAGGCACGCTGATTGTACTTATTAAGAGTTATTAATACTTAATCAGCTGGCGGATTTAATTGTGCCAATATTAAAAATGCATCAATGTCAATTTTATTCATTAAATATTTACTTTGTTGAAGGGAAACTGTTTTGCTGCCGTTTTAATATCACTTTCAGGCGATTTTGGATGTGACCCCGGGAAATGGAGGGGGAGCCCTTGGGGAGGGAGTGGCCTGGTGGCAGCAGGGGGACCCGGGATGCTCCCATGGGAACTGAAGAGGCAGAGGGGAGAGGACCAGACCCCGCTCTCTCGTCGCCGCCAGCTCTGAGCTTGTGAGCCGCTCGGCAGCGTGAGTCAGCGTGGGAAAACCTCGCCCCAGGCGTATTCCCGGTTCCCGAAGCACCGCGATGTCTGAGTAGCCGAAACGCCTTTGCCACACCAGTCCCGTCCTGAGGAGGCTGCTTGGGACTGGGAGAAGCGTGGCAGCAAGCTGGGATGGATGCACGACCTCGACGCCTGGAGAAGGGCTTCGGCTGCAGCTTTCCCTGGAGCCTGGGGCCGGAGCTCTGCTGCCTGCATCCTGCCAGGCTCGCTGCCTGCTCTTGCCTTGCTCTTTTCCTCATCCTGCTGCTCCACCTCTTCTGTAGCAAGATTCCCCACCTCATTTCGGGGCTAAGCTCTGGCCGCAGTGCCCACCTGGGAGCTGGGGTGCCAGGGTGCTGCAGTGCTGGATGTCGGGGTGCTGGGGTGCTGGATGTCAGGGTGTCAGAGTGTCAGGGTGCTGAGTAACAGGGTGCCAGTCTCCTGGATGCCAACGCTATTAGGTGTCAGGGTGCCAGGATGTTGGATTCCAGGGTGTCAGGGTGCTGTTGTGCTGATGTCAGAGTGCCAGGATGCTGGGGTGCTGAATGCCGTGATGCCAGGGTGCCAGATACCAGGTTGCCAGGGGGTTGAGTGCCAGGGCACTGGTTATCAGAGTGCTGGGGTGCTGGATATCAGGGTACCAGGGTGCTGGGTGCCAGGATGCTGAGATTCCCCAGTGCTGTGTTGGTCCTGCTGCCGTTTCTCCGCGTGCCCGGGTCTTTGCGGCACCGCCAGGCCGGACACTGACCCCATCTCCCCATCTCCACAGGCTGTGCCTTCCTCTCCTACTGCGCCCGCGACTCGGCCCTGAAGGCGCAGAGCGCCCTGCACGAGCAGAAGACGCTGCCGGGGGTAAGTGACGGGGCGGGGGGTACCGGGTGGGGGGGACACTGTGACACCTCCCTGGGCCACGAGCGCGGGAGCCGCTTCCAGCGGCCGCAAACCCAGGCATCGATTTTCCCGCCGCCCACGTGCTGTTGCGCTTTCTGTGGGCTCCGACCTCCCGAGCTTAACAAAGTGAAAATAAATATTTAATTATTCGCCTAAATAAAAATCAATAGGGCCGACAGTTGGTTGGGGAAAGCACTGGGGCCTGGGAATATCAATCCCTGCTGCGGGTGCAGGGAACTAGCGGAGGGGGATGAGGTTGGCGGGGACGTGGCTTCCCCAGCTGCACTCTTACTGGTGGTCCTGGGTATCAGTAGGGTTAAGAGTTAACAGCCCACTGAGGCAGCCTAAAGGAGGTGTGAGGCCAGGCCCTGCCTCCGGGACAGGGGCTTGCTGGTGTCCCCTCTTTGTCACACCCCCCCTCCTGTGTGCACATGCGTGTGCAAGACGTGCAGCTGCTGTAGCTGCTCACTCCTCCCCTGGCAGAGGGTGAGCGCGGGGCGGGGGTTGTGTGTGAGCACATGCCTGCCCGTGGGCGTGGGCACAGGTGGCCCCGTGTGGGCACACGTCTGTGGGCATGTGGGGGGGGTGGGCGTGTGCCTGCCTGGCACGGAGCACATGGGGTGTGCACAGCCCTGGGCTGCCACACACACCTGGAGCTGTGCCTCCCTATAGCTGTGCTCATACCCCCATAGCTGTGCCCCCTATAGCTGTGCTCATACCCCCATAGCTGTGCCCCCTATAGCTGTGCTCATACCCCCATAGCTGTGCCCCCTATAGCTGTGCTCATACCCCCATAGCTGTGCCCCCTATAGCTGTGCTCATACCCCCATAGCTGTGCCCCCTATAGCTGTGCTCATACCCCCATAGCTGTGCCCCCTATAGCTGTGCTCATACCCCCATAGCTGTGCCCCCTATAGCTGTGCTCATACCCCCATAGCTGTGCCCCCTATAGCTGTGCTCATACCCCCATAGCTGTGCCCCCTATAGCTGTGCTCATACCCCCATAGCTGTGCCCCCTATAGCTGTGCTCATACCCCCATAGCTGTGCCCCCTATAGCTGTGCTCATACCCCCATAGCTGTGCCCCCTATAGCTGTGCTCATACCCCCATAGCTGTGCCCCCTATAGCTGTGCTCATACCCCCATAGCTGTGCCCCCTATAGCTGTGCTCATACCCCCATAGCTGTGCCCCCTATAGCTGTGCTCATACCCCCATAGCTGTGCCCCCTATAGCTGTGCTCATACCCCCATAGCTGTGCCCCCTATAGCTGTGCTCATACCCCCATAGCTGTGCCCCCTATAGCTGTGCTCATACCCCCATAGCTGTGCCCCCTATAGCTGTGCTCATACCCCCATAGCTGTGCCCCCTATAGCTGTGCTCATACCCCCATAGCTGTGCCCCCTATAGCTGTGCTCATACCCCCATAGCTGTGCCCCCTATAGCTGTGCTCATACCCCCATAGCTGTGCCCCCTATAGCTGTGCTCATACCCCCATAGCTGTGCCCCCTATAGCTGTGCTCATACCCCCATAGCTGTGCCCCCTATAGCTGTGCTCATACCCCCATAGCTGTGCCCCCTATAGCTGTGCTCATACCCCCATAGCTGTGCCCCCTATAGCTGTGCTCATACCCCCATAGCTGTGCCCCCTATAGCTGTGCTCATACCCCCATAGCTGTGCCCCCTATAGCTGTGCTCATACCCCCATAGCTGTGCCCCCTATAGCTGTGCTCATACCCCCATAGCTGTGCCCCCTATAGCTGTGCTCATACCCCCATAGCTGTGCCCCCTATAGCTGTGCTCATACCCCCATAGCTGTGCCCCCTATAGCTGTGCTCATACCCCCATAGCTGTGCCCCCTATAGCTGTGCTCATACCCCCATAGCTGTGCCCCCTATAGCTGTGCTCATACCCCCATAGCTGTGCCCCCTATAGCTGTGCTCATACCCCCATAGCTGTGCCCCCTATAGCTGTGCTCATACCCCCATAGCTGTGCCCCCTATAGCTGTGCTCATACCCCCATAGCTGTGCCCCCTATAGCTGTGCTCATACCCCCATAGCTGTGCCCCCTATAGCTGTGCTCATACCCCCATAGCTGTGCCCCCTATAGCTGTGCTCATACCCCCATAGCTGTGCCCCCTATAGCTGTGCTCATACCCCCATAGCTGTGCCCCCTATAGCTGTGCTCATACCCCCATAGCTGTGCCCCCTATAGCTGTGCTCATACCCCCATAGCTGTGCCCCCTATAGCTGTGCTCATACCCCCATAGCTGTGCCCCCTATAGCTGTGCTCATACCCCCATAGCTGTGCCCCCTATAGCTGTGCTCATACCCCCATAGCTGTGCCCCCTATAGCTGGTTGGCAGGGGGGTGTTGGTCAGGAGGGTGTATCTGCATCCAGGGATGGGGAAGGTGTTGGCAGGGGGGTGTTGGTCAGGAGGGTGTATCTGCATCCAGGATGCTCTGTGTGAGTGGGTGTTGGTAAGCAGGGTGTTGCTGCGCCCAGGGATGCTGTGCGTTGGTCTGGGTGTTTGTGAGGAGGGTGTATCTGTGCCCGGGGATGGGTCTGTGTTTGTGTGCTGGCTGGAGGGTGTATTCACCCCCACTGGGCCTGGGTGTGCGTGCTGGTGCTGTGTGCTGTTGCAGGCGTGCAGGGGGCTGTGCCGGGGGGTGTTGCACCCACAGGTGGTGCAAGGGTGCGGTTTTGCCCCTGGGGTCCGTGTGGTGGGCGGGTGTTGGTGGGGAGCAGTTGCAGCCGAGGGTGGTGGGTGTGCAGCCGTGTCGGTGGCTCAGTGAGGGTGTCTTTGCCCCTTGTGACTGTGCCCTGGGAGGTGGGTGTGGGTGTATGTGGGGTGGCAGCTGTGGGTGTGCAGGTGTGTGCATGTTGGGTGCATGTGTGCACACGCTGGGGGAAGCAGGGAAGCGTGGGTGTGCACACAGGTGTTGTGGGGGCTCCCACACCCACCGTATGGGGGTGTGCAGGGCTCGAGGGGTGCACAGGGAATGGTGGGTGCTGCTGACGGGGTGGTCTCCAGCTCTGGGTATCCGTGTGTCCACAGAGGGTTGCTGAGGGTCCCCCTCTGGGTGTGCAATGGGAAAACTGAGGCAAGGGTAGTTGTGTTTCTGCCTGGCATGGTGCACCCTGGGGTGTGCGCCTGTGGCTGTGGGGCCCACAGCTGCGGGTGTGTGGCTGTGGGTGGGTGCTCAAGAGGGGTGCAGGGGTGTGCGGGTGTAAATGGGGCTGGGGTGGGTGTGTGGCTCACGTGGGCGTGCGGCGGTGCCGGGATGGCTGTGCGGTTGTGCGTGGGTGCAGGCGTGCGGCTGTGAGGGTTTGCGCTGGTGCGGGGGAAGCGGCGGTGACCGTGGGCGGGGTGTGCGTTGGGGGGGGCAGGGTTGTGGCTGTAAGGCGTGCGGGGGCCATGTGTAGGGGTGTAACTGTTCCCAGGACTGTGTCCCCCTGCTGTGAGTTTCACCCCTGGGCTCTGTCAGGGTGACGGGTGGCTGTCTGTACCTGAGCGCCTGTCTCCCTGCACTGTCTCAGCTAGTTGGGGTGTGTTGGACCTGTTGGACCCTCTGGCTGTTGGGCATGTGGAGGGGGTGACACCGAAGAAGGAGCAAGGGCCAGAAGTGACTCTGTCCCACAGGGCAGGTCCCACTGCAGGGAGTCACCATGGGCTGGCTCTCCCCAGTGCCCAGGCTGTTGGGGGACTCTGAATTTGGGTGGGTGACAGTGCCCAGAAAAAAATCAGCAGCTGGTGGTGACCCCTCTTGGGCTGTAGCACACCAGTGGTTTGGCCATGGGGTGCTGTAGCTGGGTAATCCACAAGTGATGGGAGTGGGTAGGTGCTGGGTCACACCAGGTAGGGTCTCCTGTGACCCTGGATACATTAGTGTGTCCTTAGGGTGTGCAAGGATGGGTGGTGGGGACACAGGTGGGTATCTGGGTGCTATGAGGGGCAGATGGACAGAGTAAGGGTGCTATGGGGGGGAACTGGTGTTGGGGGGTGGATGGAGGGATGGATGTTATGGGCACTAAGGGGATGGATGGGTGTTGGGGATATGGGTGGGTGTTGGTGGATGGATGGGTGAACTGATGGGTGAATCTTAGGTGGAGATGGGCAGAAAGGTGGTTGTGTGGGTGCCAGGAGCAGGGGAGATGGCTGGGTGGTTGTTTGGGTGTTGGGAGATGGATGGAGGGCTTTTGGGCAGCCAGGGGTGTCTGGGTGACCCTGTGAGCACAGGAGCATGGAGAAGGGGTGTGGTGGGGACAGATGGACAGGTGGGTGCCAGACAGCTGGGTGCAGGGAGAGGTCTGGGTGCCCAAGCTGCCTCCCCGTGCCATGGGAGCGGGTGTAGGGGTTCACCAAGCACCCCAGGGTGGGCACGATGCCAAGGGTACCAAAGCCCCCTTTTTGGGGGGCGTCTGTAGGCCGGGAGGTTTCTCCCCGGCGCGGCGGCCCTGGGGTAGGTTAGCAGGTCCCTGAGGCCTGACATTTATAAACATCAGCCGCTCCTGGAGAATCAATACAGTTTAATAACCGGCGAGCGGAGACGGGAGACACATCAAAATGACACTCTGCGGCTCCCTAAATGTTATTCTAAATCATCCTCGCCGGGTTTATTACATTAAGCATACAGCAGTGGGCACGGGGAATTTATTCCATCAAAGGCCGTTGTGCTGGTAAATAGGACTGGTGGGTTGGTGGAGGGGGGGGGGCAGCCCCCCGAAAATGGGGTTCCCTCCTCCTGGGCATGGCAGGGATGAGGGGGGTGTTGGTCCCACAGGTCTCTCTGCTGTCTCAGCCTCTGAGGTTTGGGGTGAGCTCTGGGCAGGGGTTTGGGTGGATGTTTTGGGGACTGGTGGCACGATGGGCACCACGAGAGCAGCCAGGTGGCCCTCGGTGCCGCCCCATGGCTCCTGGGGACCCAGTCCCCTCCCTGAGCATCCCCTGGCTCTGCGCTGACATTTCTCCCCGTGTTTCCCTGGAGACGAGGTGGTTGCTGTGGAAACCTCCCTCCTCTTCTTCCTTAACCATCCTCTTCCTCGCCCCGGGGGGTGGGATTTGGTGCTGGCCTCCCCCCCCCCCGCCCCTAACCCTCG